ATTGACAACCATTTTTGAAGGATGAGGAAAAGGGCATCAGTCACTGAAGTGAGAAAAATGCTTCTGAGGTAGACAAGACAAAACTGCTGAGGAAATCCACTAATCGGGCTCCCAAAGAACAGAAGGGGAGGGGGAAAGATTACTGACCTCCACTGCAGCACCTGACTTGGACTTGGTTCAGGTTGTGTCCTGGCTGAGCATTTCAAGCAATGCTTAACGTGAAGGCAATTAGATTATTAGTGCAGCAGACGGCAGTTACATAGCAAGACTGCTATTCAATGATAATCACTGCAAAAACCCTTCAGGGCTTCAATCTTGTTACCTAATATGTAACATTAAGAGTAGTTCTAATAAAGACATGATACTAAGCCAGTTGTCCAATTCATTTAGCATTAGCTCGACTTAAAGCTAATGATTCTTTTCATCCAAAAACAAAATGTTCTTCCTCTTAATTGGTAATTGAGAAAAGCAGGCAGCACGTGTTAAAGGCAGCCTGGGAAATTAGAACACTAATCTACGGTTACCTCCATCATGCTCAAATTGAAAACGACTGGTGCTGGTGTCAGTTTGCTGTGACAGCTGTCCACACTTCATATTTTTGTGCTATTTAAAACCTTATGAGATGTGCAACCATTTTACACTTGATTTTTGAGATTATTGATAAAAATAAGATGGCTTTTAAGCAGGATTTTAAATTAACATTATGTTCGGTATAAAAACGTTAAAACAGTACAATAAAGTATTTTTAAAACATATTTTACTCAAAAAAGTTGCTCATATTTTGGGACTGTTGAGAGTTTATGAATTCATCTGGTATTAATTTCAACAAATACATATACTCAAAAGAAATCTCTTCAACTAAACAACATGTTTATACCCAGGACACTGTAATTTAAGCACACATGACATTATCAAAGTTAGATTTATTATATCTGGACACAGAGTGTTTAATACAAAGAAAGATGTAGAAGTAAAACAGTTTGTGGTATGGCACTCTCCTTTTCACAGACCAGAATTCCCCTATAAGACAAATAACTCAGAGTCATATAGTGCATAGAATTATTTGATTATCCACTTCATAGCAATGAGTTACCAAATCAAAAGTAATAAATACTGTACAATGATAAATCTGCCGTTAAAAATGACATGCCAAAATTTTACATTGCATACAATATCCTTAAACAACAGCATTTGTTATTCATACCTTTACAATAACATTTTTTATAAAATCAGTAAATTGTACAAGTATAATTCAATATATGATTATATATACACATATATATTCCAATATCAATATTTAAATAAAGTGCCTTTCTTTTTGAAGCTCTGAAAGGTGAAATCTTACCATCAAATGTACTTAGAAAAGAGTGTATTTTATCTAAACTTCAACAACCAGTATTAGAAAAAAGTACAACATTTTCCATTTTAGTTATACCTATAGTTATACAAATACCCACATTCATCAGTTTATTCACCAAAAATATTGACACACAAAGCCAAAGTCAAAACTCGGGTTGGTAGACATTGCGATTTACTTGTGACAGATTCAATCCAGGCTCACTGGACATACATGCCTGTGGCGACATTTCTGCAAAATATTGCATTGCTTCTTTCATGTTTCAAAGTGAAATGTCCATTAAGTGGCACTAAACAGATCAATTTAAATCTGGAAACATTCTATTGCATTGGTTGTTGTACATTGTGGCAGTTTGGAAATGAAATGTTCGGTGAGTGGCAATATAGGTTAAACAACATATCACATACACTAAACCTTACCCAAAACCTAACCAACAGTGTAAACAAAAGCAACTGAACTGTAAAATAAAAACATGTACTCTGAAGCAACCATGCCATTTGAGCTTGCTCGGAACGTGTACCAGAGCACTGTACATCGCAAATTCAATACAGTACCAGGTGAGCAACCAAGCAAGTTTACTACATTAGAAAAGCCAAGCATAAGCAGTGGATTAAGTGATGCAAACATCAAAATGTATTCATTTACTATTCATTCTCTATGATAAAAGTGTGTTTAGGTCATGACATAGTATTGTGCAAGGAATCAGGCTTAAATAAGTCACTATTAATTGATAATCTGCCTATGTAATCATTAAAGTTGCTACTGTTTTACTGTCACCAGTGTTCATTTCAGCTGTAATCTGCAGTGAACTGTATGCATAGGTATGCTTTCAGAGTTTTGAAAAAATGTAGGAAGAGGCACGTATTTCTAATGAGCATAGGTTGGACAGAACCCATGCACATACTACAAAGATGATAAAATCCATGCCTGTAATATTTAAGGAAAATATACTATCACTAAGAGCAGGATATTTGAATGCTTCCAACGTTCTCACAGCTGGACTGAATTACATTTTCATGGCTGGCATTTATTGTTATCTCAATGAAATTTTTTCCACAGTTTTGCTCAAGTCTGACAGGGATCATAAGCGATGCTAATGTGCACTTGGCTCGTTCCTACATTTGGAGATCTTCTCCTGCAGCGTTTAGTGTTTCTTGCAACCTGTATGTATTTTTCAAGCAAATGCAAATACCTTGATTATCTTTTTTAAGTTTAGAAGTTTATTTAGAGTTAGAACTTAACTCTAGAGCAGTGGTTCCCAATCCTGGTCGTGGAGAACCCCCAAAGTGAAAAATTTGAACGTCAGATCTTTTACAGTCTAACAAGACTCCCACAGAGTTCCTCCTGCTACAGTCTCAGAAGAGAAGTTTCTACAACGACGCTGATTAAATGGGTTTTGAACTAGACATTAAGTTATATGAAAGCTAAGACAACAAATCTATAAACGTTTCAACTAATAAAAGAACACACTAGAAGCTTGAAAGGCAATTAACTGAAGCCTCCATTAAGAGATAGCAAAAATACTAGTTATATAATTGGCAATAGTTACACTAACAAAAAAGTATCGAAAATTACCTTGGTACTAACAGTTTTTGAACAGTGTAACCTGGCACTGTAATGGGTTTTTGGACATGTGTTATGCAAATACCTTCTTCTTCTTCTTATTCCTGAAATACTGAAAATGTTCAGGTTTTGGCTTTTTTTTCATACTTGCTGAAAAATGACTGAAAGGTAGTTTGACCAATAGTGTGCAGGCATTGTACATAATTGACCAATCATGGTGGGTGAGAAGATGGGATCTACAAAGAACAATGCAAATGCGGGTACACATACTGTGTGAAGACTTCAGAGTCATTTTTGGCAATTTAGAACTCCCGACTAGAACATGTCTGGAAAAAGAGGACGTATGGTCACCCTAACCACATTTAAAAAGTACTATGGTACCACCAAAATACTTGTTCCAGTTCCTGCCAATATCCAGCAACTTCGCACAGCCATTGAAGAAGAGTGGACTAACATTCCACAGGCCACAATCAACAACCTGATCAACTCTATGCGAAGGAGATGTGTTGCACTGCGTGAGGCAAATGGTGGTCACACCAGATACTTACTGGTTTCCGGACCCCCCCAATACAGTAAAACTGCACTTTTTAGAGTGGCCTTTTATTGTGGCCAGCCTAAGGCACACCTGTGCAATAATCATGCTGTCTAATCAGCATCTTGATATGCCACACCTGTGAGGTGGATGGATTATTTCGGCAAAGGAGAAGTGCTCACTAACACAGATTTAGACGGATTAGTGAACAGTATATGAGAGAAATAGGCCTTTTGTGTACATAGAAAAAGTCTTAGATCTTTGAGTTCAGCTTATGAAAAATGGGGGCAAAAACAAAAGTGTTGCGTTTATAATTTTGTTCAGTGTATGTTCATTCGGGATATTTCTTTTTACATGTTTACAGCGTTGCGGATTATTACACAATTCTGTTGAGCTTATGAACACAATGGCCAATTAGAGGCATTCAGATTAGTCATCTGTGAAACATTTTGTTCAGTGCACGTGCGCTCACTGACTGAATCCTGCACTCTTGTGAATTCTCTCATCACAAACAACAAAGTACAGATATACATACAGCATAAGAGATTCATTCATTATACAGTGTTGACAACTTCACTGATCATAACGGGAGTGTTTTAGCGTTTTTAGTGCTTAAACTCGAGCTAGACTTATGTCATAATGTAATGTTCTTTGATAATGTAAATGTTCTTTGCTCGCTTTCTGTATATAATTGATTCACTGTTAGAATAACTGTGGAAATTAAAGCGTTATAATTAGCAACTTAAAATGTTTTTCTATTAAACTGTGATCATGTCAAATACAAATCCAGTCGTATTAAAAATATTTTATGACATGACACCCATATCTGGTACTTGCCTAAAAAGAAGGGTTTATGATGTGCATATAGTTAATAGATTACACAAACATTAGGCTACTTTTAGCCTTAGGAATTGTTTCACACTCCGCCTCTGCCACCATGGCTACACTAGTTAAGCTGGTCTGCCAGCAACAATAACGAGTTTAACCTGGTCCAGATCAAGGGGGCTAAAGTCTGATTTTTCATCCCCTTCTCAAAACTACACCATCTGGCTGAAAAAAAGCATGTTTTTTTTCTTTTGCCATTCAAAAATAGCAGTGTATTTTACATTGCAAATATTTCATTATAGCAAATACAGTAGATGTTTTTTCATTGACCAATTTATTTCAGAAGGCATTTGAAAGTATTTTAGATGGCTTCTAAAAAATATTGCTCCTATTATATTATATTATATTATATTATATTATATAATCCTATTATAGTTGTGTTTTTTTTCAGGAGCTGGAAATGTTCAAATTAATTGTTCTATTGTGTTTATGTAGATTTAGCACTGTAGAGCCTCACATAGCGTATTTGAGTTTGTAAGCGAACGGATTCTGTGTGTAATGCCCATTTGTGCATGGCAGGTTGTGGACCGCCCTGTATCAGGGGCTTTTAATCTGAAAGCCCTCATTGAGCTGTCATACTGAAGCCAAGTAAACGCCTGCTGCTCTCAAAGAGCGGTTTCATAGTGTATACAGTACACACACAGAAGGCCAAACTACTCCTTTTCAAACACGAGTCTGGTGTCTCTGGTATTTGTTCGACTTCTGCATGCCTGACAGAGATGAATGAGAGGCATTAGTGAAGTTTTCCATCACTATCAGCATAATTAGGAGCCAGATGGAATTAAGATCAAGATCAATAGTGAGTAGTGAAGTGCACTGTGGGATTGCAAAGGCCTATAAGTGACAGCACTGACAGTCTCACCAGGACAATGCTCTAAATCACATGTCCGTGATTCTGTGGCAGTGCAGGCATAGCCACATGAACGAATCCTCTTTTGATTCCCGTGTCCACAGGTGACACTGCATGGTGACCAGTCGCTCCATTCTTCCTCCTCATATTCTGTAGATGAAAAAAATAATGAGTGTAGGAAATCTGTGACAAAAAGGATGACCTTTTCTACAGTATAAATTGAAACTAACGAATTTGTCACACAGCATCTGGGAATGGTATGCAATGCAGGTCAAACCACAAATGATTTGGGATTAATGGTAAAGGAATTTCTTTACTCAACATAACAAGCTCCTGAAAGTGAAATCTTCAACTAAAATTACACCTTTAAATTCAATCTGCTTGCATCTGAACTCTGTGTAACATCCAACATACTGGGATTGACAAAGAAATAAATCCAAAAACAACCAAGATGGTAAGTGCATCTCTCTGTTGTTTGCATAAGAAAGCTAATGATGCTCAACTAAATTAATATTGCGTATTTCTCTGTAAGATATAATCTCTCAAATGAACAAAATGTGGGCCCTCCTGGCAGGCCAGGCTTGCTTTTTTTGGTAATAAATATGTCAGAGGCAAAGTCGGCCACTTACAGCTGTGAGAACTGAGCCAATACAAACACTTCAGCAGGAAGGCAAGGCCTAATAGCTTAGATGCTTTCCAACAATGCTCTCTTTCCACCACCATGCTAAAGAGATTAAAGTTTCAGAGCTCTCCATGGTGGTAGTGATGGAGAGAGAGACGATGTGGAGAGAAATAAGAGAACTGTTTCCTCGCTAATGTATTTTGGCTGCATTGTTGTTGGTTACCAGGTGTTGTTGCTGATTCAGAGTCCACATTCTGATGATGAAGACACCCACTCATACTGTCACAGCAAAGAAAACACTGATGACATACCCACTTATGCAGGTTCTTGCAAATTGTTTGAATAACTTTCTCAGAATTCAAAATTCTTGAATACTTTAATTTAATTGGTATTTATTGGGTGTTTTCCCATAAAAAAAAATCAAAAATGTTCTACAATTTGCAATTTTAGAAACAGATTTGTGAAAGATAACAAAAAAGACCAATACCAACTTTATTTATTTTTAGCGGAATTGAGCTTGGTAGCTCTGTACAGTGTAAAATCTGCACAAAACTGCATATTAAACATCATATAATGTTTTGATACTGTGTTGTGTTACACAATGTCACTGGTTTGCAGTGACAAAGCGACCAGACATCCATCATTCATTTCCAATGAGAGCAACACAAGCGATCGAGACCACACACACTGAATAGACTTATATTTGCTATCAAAGAACTTTGTTTTAACTAAAATACCATAGGCACTGTAATAAGTTACTACAGTAAAACTGTGGTAAATAATTTTCATAAGGGCAGTGGAGAGCAAAAAACGACCTAAAGCTATAACATTCTACAGAGCTGTTGCCGAACATGGCCTGCCTGTAATTCTGTGGCTCACCATAATTGCAGAAAAGCGCTTCATTACTGTACGCCTCTAGAGGAGACCACATCATTAATAATGTGGCTCATTTGTCCTTCTCTGTTTCCTATTCAGGCTTGTTTGTACACAAAACACTCCTACTCTGGGTACACTCATTAGGTCTATTTTAGAGCAGGGGATCCATTGGGGCAACAGAGAGAAGCCGGTTCGGTTTCGTACCCACATCTTCAGAGGCTCTCCTGCTCACACGACCGCAGCGAGCTTACTGCAATTGCTTCTTTTTTGGCTGGTTGTTGGATTTGACCACACACCACCAATGCACTTTCTCTCTAATGAAGCTGACAGAACATGGTGGAACACAACCTCAATAGAGGATCCCCCTGCAAGTCAATGACAGATGGAGACGAAAAATGCCCTTGTTAAATAAAGCTGGTTAAAGGATAAATGTAAATTCTGGTTTTAAAGCTATTGCAGCATAAGTTGAACTCCAAAGTTTTAGTTTAACAATCCAATGAGAGCTTATATGTGCTTTTCTGTTCAGTTCAAACTCTCTGCTAGCCCTTCTTATACTAGTATTAGTACAGTAAGCAGGGCTGATAGATCTAAAATGTTAAAAAGTCTAGTTAAGTATAATCAAGACAGGTTTACCACAAGTTTTCTACTAAATAAACACAAAGAAGAATGACAAGAATAATTTTCATGCATATGCAAATACTCATGAGTTAGGGTTAAACACTACCTGTTTGGAAACAGTCATTATTTCATTCATTAATTGGTGCCTCCTAGAGGCAGAAAAATTACCTAAAACATCTTTGAGTGCATATACTTCCCAGTAATTTGATGTTTGCCAATTTTTAAAATGTCTTACACATAAATGAGTGACTGAATGCTTTAACAATTTCCTCGGGCAGTGGATATAAATTTGGTGTGGAAAAATGGAAATGACAGACAAAACAAAGGCAAAAAACACTTTCATTCCAAAGCCTGAGAACTGCCATGAATTCCAGAGAGAACTCAAAGGGCTAGGCCGTGTGAATCATAGCGAAGCGCCAGTCATGGGACGAAAACACAGCAGACGCTTTCTTTGTCAGTCCAAGCATGCTGGCCTTTCTTTCAATCTACTGTCTAATTGAACACAAATATTAGTTGTTTAGCCAGCAAAGAGGCCCCATGCTGCTCTTAGCAAGCGTCGGGCCCAGGTTTCAAACAGCCATGTTTTCCGAGCGCTGGTGTCAACTTCAAAGAAAGGATACACAAAGCTGATGCTCAAGCCCTCTGTCACTAACGTGAACCAGACATAGCGTTGAGTTTCCTCTTGCAATCCCTTATTCAATACTTTCACTGTGATCTTTTCTTCACCATATACTTTGAAAAGGTTCAGAGCACTTGATGATAGGTTGAGTTCTGCTTTTTAAGGATAAAAATCGCATTAAAATGGTATTTCAGCACTACAGTCTGCCCCGTATGTAAACATTTTGAGGTAATGATCTGCCTAACCGACAAAGAAGCAGTCTGGTGGTGAGATAACATGCATACCACAACTAATATTTTGATGTATTAGGACACACAACACTGGGTCACCTTTCACTGTTTACTGCTGATAGGCGTCTAGAGAAAGTCTCAGGAAGTGGCGACAGAAATGACATGTTTATGTTGCAGTTCTTGATTGCAACCCTTAAAGCATAAATCATAATGTCAAGACCTAAAGAGGAGGCTGGGGCCCGCATTGCTGAGGAAATCAACTAGGCATACGTGCCCCGGCATTCCAAGAAGCCCCAACACAAGCACTGATACTTCCGATAATAGGGCTGAAGAAAAACAAAAACCAAAAACTCAGGGTCCAATTACACAGTTGGAAAAAAAACATCAAGACAGTTTAATTCAGGTCAATTATTATGACTTTTCTTCACTTTTGCGCAGCAATAGGGATGCGCCCAAACTCTCACTGGCAAAAACTACCCGTGCTTACCGTAATTGTCCATGGAGTCCCAGCTCTTCCATCGTCTGTTCCAGTCTGCACCCACACCACTCAATAGGGAATCTTCTCCCTCATAACTGAGGTCCTCCCCATTCTCCTCCAGACTGCCTTGCCCAGGACCTTCTTGACTGGAGTCATGATATTCCCAGAACAATGGCCAGAAGAGCTTTTTATGGCCCAGCCACTCTTCCGAGCTCAAGGACCAGTCATTCCTGCTCTCCTTGGCGAGGTCCATCTCAATCTCCATCTGTGGGTTGTCCACAACCTCAATGGTAACCTAGTAGAGAGATACAAGTTGATATCAGAAAGTTGTAGTTCTATAAAACCTTGGTTTTGACTGGTTTTTGGAACATGATAACCAGTTTGTTGTGGGTTCAAGATGGACAACCAGCCCAAACAAGCCTGATCAGGTCCAGCAAGCCAGGTTCAACCATCTAGACAGGCTTGGATCAGCTAATGGCCAGTTTGGACCAGCTAGAAACCATTTTGACAACCACCTAATCTGACAAGTCTTTCTAAGCAAGTTAGATTAATTATATACAATATATATGCTATATATTATAATAGATAGATAGATAGATTGATAGATAGACAGACAGACAGATGAATCCTGGAGAAAAAAAAATATTATCACAGTTTCCACAAAAACATTAAGCAGCAGAACCGTTTTAAACATTGATAATACGTTTCTTAAGCACCATAAGTTTTTTGAGCACCAAATCAGCATTGTTAGAATTGTTGAAGAATTCATTATTTACATTTACATTTAGTCATTTAGCAGATGCTTTTATCCAAAGCGACTTACAAATGAGGACAATGGAAGCAATCAAAATCAACAAAAGAGCAATGATATACAACTGCTATAACAAGTCTCAGTTAGCTTAACGCAGAACACGTAGCAAGGTTTTTTTTAAATAATACAATAAATAAAAAAGAAAACAGATATAATAGAAAAAGAATAGAGCAAGTTAGTGTTAGAGGTCTTTTTTGCTTTTGTTAATTGTATAATAAATGAAAGAAAACATTTAGAATACAAAAAGTTTAGAAAGCAAGTATTAGTTTTTTTTTTTTTTTTTTAAGAAAACAAGCAGCAAATTAATAGAGTGCAAGTCTAAAAGGGACAAGTGTTGTTGTTTTTTTAAGAATAGAATTAGAATAGAGACTGCTAGAGTTAGAAAAATTATTTCATTATTTGAAACTGAAAATGAGGCTTTTCCATCAAAGGAATAAATTAAATTTTAAAATACATAAAAAATGGAAGAAGTTATTTTAAATTGTAATAATGTTTTTTTTATTATTATTAAATAAATTCAACCTTGGTGACTTCTTTCAGAAACACTAAAAACTAAATCTTAAAACCCCCTAACATGTGAACAGTAAAGTATATGTTTACCTGAATCACAACATATTGGGTTTAATTGCACAGACATTTAAAAGCTAACACTACCGCCCCCCTTGAGTACTGTGCTTTGTTATAGCCATGGATGTTAAAGATGTTCAAAGGATGTTCAACGTTTTCTCTATTCTCCTATTTGTTTATTTCAAAGGATGTTTTGAGGTGACAGATTTGTTCTTTGCATGCTTGGGCTTGTAGTGCCCGAGTCAGGCAGACCTGAAAACGATAGCAAGTGTTCCAGCAGGCCGAGACAAAGGACTGGTTGTTTATTTCCCCTACAGCGTAACAATCTGATGGCTGCTGCAGCTGTTTATAAAGGCACGGAGCAGTTTAGAGCGGGTGATTACGCTACTGTAACTGCAATGTTTACAACAGTCGGCCTCCACCTCCTCCTTGAACTAATCATGACTGTGTTCTACTTCCAAAGAACACAATACGTCACTTTTAAAGACAAAAAGATCCAAGGTTTAGATCACTGGAGGTCCATTAACTGGCAAATTTAGGTTTAATGGCAACACAGACGTAAAAGAAATATCTGCTGCATTTCTTTGTCAAGGTCTTATCAAATTTGTTTCCATTAGAAATGGTGAGTCATAGAAAAAGAAGATAACATGAGATATACCAGCTCAAAAACGAAAGAAAGTGTTCAGTACAAACTGACGTCTTAAAATCATAATGTTCACCACATTACCTGCTAAACGCAGTAACTCATACATTTACATTGGCAGCCACCATATTGGAGACACATAAAAACAAAATAGATTTTTCAAAAAAGTATGGAAGATGGACCTGTCCCACTTGGAAGACTCGGTTTTTCCTTATTATAAAAGTCCATTTGCTTACCAGGGATCTTCTGTGTATTTTTTCCCTGAAGTCTAACTTTGTTTCCGCTCTGGCTCTAAGCAGATAGACATCACATTTTAATTTTTGGGTGAACTATCCCTTTAAGCCTCAAGAATGAGGCAGATGATGGTGACTCTTTTTAAAATATCAAGTGCTTTTAAAGTGCTTATTTTATTTATTAAATGTAAAATATCACTATAATCACTATAATAATATTTTTTAAAATTGCACTAAAGGTAGTGGCACTGTAATTTCGTTGTATTTTAATACAAGGACAATAAAGCTGAACTGAACTGAAAATATCACTGATAATTATTTTTATATCAATAATGAATTACTGTTTCTTCAAGCCGTATCAGTTCCTGTAATGTCCTCAGACTAATTGTTATTATGACCTTAAATAATTATATATATAATTTTTATTATTATTTAATCATTTTTATGATTTATGAAATTTAATGAAACTATCTGTGTTGAACAAAATAAATTTCAGGGCAGGTCATGAAAAATAGGCTATTATATTATTGGTTAATATTATTTTTCTCTGGACACACATTTTGCAAAACAACATTGTTTTATTTTGCTTTAATATACACTGATGAATTGTGCAGAATCAGACCAGGGACATTTAAATGTTGGAAGTAAATAGTATAGGAAATGTTCATGTTGTCTTTAGCTGCATGCACTCTCCAACCCAACATGCAATAAGTGCCAGATGAAACTCTTTACATTTTGGGTCATGCTGCGCTTCAAAGAGTTCTTGTGGAGGCCATGTCTATAAGCCACCAGAGACTTCAAAAGAACAGCAAAATACACAAGCATAAATCAGAAAGCAAGAGACACATAATTCCTCATCATGACCACATCATTCTGCAAGCATTCTTGATATCTCCTTTACTTTCAAATCGCCATCTCAGATCCAGATCACCTTGGTGCATTTCAGCATGTGGCATTCCTGCTCTTCCTCATCTAGAGACTCGGTTTGATGTTCCCAATGTTCCCTTCTGACGTTGCAGAGGAGAGTGGGGGGTGGGGGAGTTGGATCTGTCTGATCAAAGCCTCTCTCTACTGATCATGCGTGGCCTGCCTTGTCTCACTTCACTGCTTGTGTCTCTCCCACACACAAAACAGATGTCCTCTGCTCCAGACGATAAACTTCACCCTGGCTCTAATGAAGTTCATCATCACATGGAGTGGGGAGAAGGAAAGGAACCTTCTTTAATGATTCGTAAACAATTATTAGCGTCCAAACGTCAAACGTTTCTATTTGAATTCAGTATTTTATGATTTTCATTGGAATTTGATCAACACAGGGACCGTTTTTTGATAAGTGGAAATACATTTACATAAATGTGTTGTGATAAACAACCGTTCTCTCGATGCAAACGCTATTCCCAACGCACAGCTACAGACAGAAATGGTCATCATGCGTCATAAAACAAAATGTGCGAAAATAGTTTACAGTCATGGCCAAAAGTTTTGGCAGTGACATAAATTTTGTGTTTTGTGTAGATCATATGCATTTTAAATTGCTAAAAGCTTCATGGGCCAAAAAAATTTACTTTTCACAAAAAAAACTAATTTCACTGTTTTTTGATCCTGACACAAAATGACCAGCTAACATTAATTGACTAATCATATCAGCAGTACATGTGAAAGTGTGAATGAGTACTACTCGGGTAAAATCACTATCATACTAATTAGATTGTAAGAGCAGACCGATTGCTATAACAGGAGGGAAGAAGCGCTTCCAATCATTGTGTTCTTGTTAGCAATGGTTACCTCCAAATAAACACGTGCAGCCATCATCACTTTGCATCAAAATGGCCTCACATGCAAGGAAATTGCTACAAAGAATATTGCACTTGAAAGAGCCATTTACCGGATCATCAAGAACTTCAAGGAGGGAGGTTTGACTGAAGTGAAGAAGTCTTCAGGACGTCCCAGAGTGTCCTGCAAGCACCAGGACCGTCTCCTCCTGAGGAGCCAGCTACGGAATTGTGTCACCAGCAGTGCAGAGCTTGCTCAGGAATGGCAGCAGGTTGGTGTGAGAGCATCTGCATGCACAGTGAGGACAAGGCTTTTGGACAACGGCCTGGTGTCAAGAAGGGCATCAAAGAAGCCACTTCTCTCCAAGAAAAACGTCAAGGACAGACTGAAATTCCGCAGGAAGTACAATGATAGGACCAGGGCTCTCTCATAATTCTGCCCAAAAACACTGCCATGAATAAAGAATGGTATCAAAATGTCCTGCAAGAGCGACTTCTTCCAACGATCCATGAGGAATTTGTTGGTGATCCATACATTTTCCAGCATGATGGAGCACCCTGTCACAAAGCAAGAGTGATAAAGAAGTGGCTCGAAGATCATTACATTGAAATTTTGGATCCGTGGCCAGGCAACTCCCCGGATCTCAATCCCATAGAGAACCTGTGGTCAGTCCTCAAAAGGTGAGTGGACAAGCAGAAGCCCACAAATTGTGATCAACTCCGAGAACTAATAAGGCAAGAATGGATCACCATCAGTCAGGATTTGGCCCAGAAGCTAATATCCAGCATGCCAAAATTAATAGCAGAGGTTATGAAGAACAAGGGTCAACACTGTAAATATTGACTCATTATTGACTCAAACGGTGATGTCCAATGCGAACAAATGACTACTATGAACTGATTCTTTTACAGAGTCAGTGAATCATTCAGAGCTGTTACTAGTTTATTGACTCGCTAAACCGTGACTCATTTTACACAAACGTCTGATTTGAGTTGAACTGAGAATGTTAAAGCCTTTCACACAAAGGACGATAACTATACTACTACAGTGTGTCTGGACTTTCATGAGACTTACATCCGTTTATTTACTGACTGGTTGTTCATACGACAACGTCTAATTTAAGGTACATATTAACAACACAGTTTTGTTGTATAAATGAATGTACTGACCATTTTACTCCCCATCCTGTATTATTGGCGTTTGACTGGCAGTGCCTTCCTTGCCATCAAAAAAAAAAAAGCACTAACACGTGACTCGAATCTCTAGGAAGTGCACAGTCGGAGTGCAGTTGGGAACTACTGTCCATTTTTTACAGTCCTGTGAAAACCAATGAGATGTTACCATCCACAACGTTTTCTCTGTCTGCCTGTAGTGAGCGCAATGAAGGATTTCGAGTGTTTCCTCACTTTGTGCGCCTTCCAGAGATCTTTCATACTGTTCCCTTCAATCATTCTATAATCAAACCTCTGAGAAAAAGTCATGCCAAGATAAGCTCCTCACTCAGCATTGCCGTTTGTATTAATCTCTTTCTTTACATGGGTGAAACTGCTTACCCACCAGCTGAGACGAAAAGGATGGCTATGATTTCACATGTGTCTACAGGTTAATACGAGAAAAGAAACTTTAAAGAATACTTTCCTGTGCCGCAAAGCAGCTCGCAACAACCAAGTCCCTGGAGCCAGAATTCCTGACTCACCACAAAGGGGGCCAACAGAAACAGGAGAGGCAAGACAGCAAGGCCACTTGTGAGCAGAGTGACATGGTAAGGATGGAATCCTGCCCAGATCCTGGCAGAGACGATCATTGTCCTCATGCCTTTATGTTGTTCTTTCTCTATATTTTTTCTTCCAGCATACCACCATGTTACAATCTGATTCTTTTGGCATGCCTCAACAGCATCAGTGTACCATGTGTTATCTTCTCTCCTCACAAACAGTTATTGTGTTTTATAGGACGTGCCATCTGGACCGGCATGGAGACCTAAGAGAATAAACGAATATGCCCCTGCCAAAATAAATACCACACACACATGGTCTCGGGATGCTTTGAGCTGAATATGCTGGAGCAGAGGTCCACCACAACAAGGGCATCAGGGCACTGAAGCTGGAGAGGCAACAGAGTCCCAAAGCACATGAAACATTCAGAGTCTGATTTCCCCAACACCCTCACAAAGCATTAACTCTGACCGCTTAGAAAGAAAGCAAATGAGCGGCTTGCTCATAATTCAATAAAATGGATGGATTTGATTATTCTCTTCCAAAAAAAGAGGGAAAAGCAAGTTTTTCTTTGAGCCAAGGATTAATCACACTGTCAGAATAACTTATTCCTTGTCGGTGTGTCATGCATTTAAAACTATGGAAGCTCATTTCTGTTTCAGTGTGAAAAAATAAAAGGGTAATTGTGACTTTATTTTTGGAATTGTGACTTTATATCCCACAACTTTAACATCATACTGTGGCTCACAACTGCAACTTTCCTTATAATTGCAACTTTGTTTCTCAAAATTGACTTTATTTCTTAGAATTTAAACTTTTTTCCCCATAATTATAACTTTATTTCTTAAACTTATGACTTTTCATCTGAAAATTTTGACTTTACATCACAATTGCAACTTTGTTTCTCAAACTGCAAATGTATTTCTCATAACTGACTTAATCCATCACAATTACAACTTTATTTCTTAGAACTGCAATTTCATATATCACTGCAACTTGTATTTCTTGTAATCGCAACTTAATTTCTCACAGTTGACGCTGAATATTTTACATTGTTCATGCATGTACTTCATACTTTATCTTATGATTGCATTTTTACTTTGACATAGTTATGACTTTATATCTCACATTCTGACTTAATATTTCTTATTTAAAACTTACTCAAACATTTTTGTGCGCAGCAAGTGAAACTCAAGGTTAGAGCACCTAGATGGATATATTCCCAACACATCCATGTCTGGTTTCTCTCAGATGGCTTGTGTCAAAAACTCTTCATTAACATCATGTAAGCCTCATTAATCCCATCCCACTAGAATTCCTGTTGACACTTGATAACCAACTTGTACCAAACGTACCAGTGGTACTGTACATCTTCATACCAACTATATTAATGTTATAAACTGAAAAAAGGCAGATTGGATACGTATCTTTTCTTTTACAAGCTTCAGATGTTTATAATCAGATCTGCACAACATGTTTTGTAGGGCCAAGATCTAAAAAATAGTATGTACTCAGCAACATGCACGCATGTTATTAAATCTATTTCTACTCTCAAGCTGGTGTGTGTGTGTTCTGGTGGTATTTGTGAAATATTATCTGGTGTTTCTTCATTAAATTCTGAATATAGCTTCTACCAAAGCATTCGCTATATACTTTCAAACAGATTATGGTTTACAGTTTCAGCTTAACCTCAATTAAAGCACTGGACATCTGAGAGCTTTCCACACTCGAGTCATCCGGCACAATGCTAAGAATCAGCAACATAAACTTCCAAGCGGGGCTCAAGAATTTGGCGTCATTTGTGGAATTGGTGTCTGCTTGGGCTTGAGGAGAGGAAGTGGCCTGTGATTATTGGGCTTATCAATTATAGCACCAAGGCCGCTGAACTCCTATGAGATTTCTCTGAGCGTGGCGTATTGGATTCCAGCTGGCTGTTTTGATTAGTAAGTGTCAGTATTTTGTGTGAAGCAAAGACGTCCGGTTACAAAGGGGAAACAATGGCCCTCCCATGTCTGTATGAACCCTGGTGGCTATTTTAATAAAAACATCTTTCCCAATTGGCTTAAAAGGTGGGGGAGACATGATGTTTTCACACAGCGCACAAAGACGGTCTTGTATCACCTGAGTATCGCCACTTACCAGTCTGCTTTCTGTCAGGTCTTCGCACCCTTGAGCAAGACGTGTTCTTTACCCCCTGCTCAGGTTGTGCGTATAGTGAGTCGAGTATCTACTATATAGATCGATTCATGTGCACATGCAAGAGGAGCCTTAGTATTACGTCTAGGATAGTGGACTTGTATTCGAAATTCTTTTCAGAGGGGAAATGAGTATTAAAAGGCAGCCTGGGGTAGGTTTGCATTTCCTCTCTGAGTTAACACTCCATAAAGCTGATCCATGAAAAAAAAGTCACAGCATAACCATGGATTCAGTGTGACCTCACTTCTCTGCTGAAGGAGAAATGAATGAATTAAATACCCAAAACAACCCATGAACATTAAACTGCGGTTTATCATTTAACAGATGGGGCAAATTAACCACCCCGCCATTCCAGGCATTAAGCACACTTTAACTATGGAAACTGTATTTTCAGTGTGCTTGACCTCTAATGAACTTTATCCTGGTTCTTTCTGAATATGATATGACATGTAAAAAGATTCCTACCTGTCTGACACCTGCTGCAGCTCTATGAAAACTCATTTGAATTCAGTGCGTTCTGCAGCATGGTAAAGCAGACCGGGGCTAGTTGTCACAATGACTATCAAATCACTGCTTTGGCCAACAAATACTGTAATGCATAAATGTATCCTTTTAAAACATGTGATATTTTATGACAAATATCTTTATCTTGAGAAAACGGTTCTCCTTTCAGTTAAAATATATAGATAAAACACACATTTATTTGAATGGATGATATAGTTATTGGATGTGACATCTTACCCAGTGTGACAATTAGCTCCTATTGGTTAAAAAACCAGATCAGGTGACAACGTTAATTTTCTGCACATCACTGACCAAGGTGGTCATAGAATCGGGAATATTAACTATTCCATGAACCTGCAGATGTACTTTTAGACCTTTTAGGTCTCACCGTTTTATGACATTAGCATTTATTTGGGATTTTCTGACAAATTAATTTAATAGGTAGGAATTCTAAGATATTCATTTAGATATGTATCAACTCTGTTGTTGCTGTAAAATAAAATTATCTAAAAAAAAAAGAGCAAACTAATAATTAATTATTGAAGAAATCCTACCTCTAGAGATGTTTCACTCTTGCTCTTGATGGGATTTGCTCTTCGTCTTTTTGCAGGGAACCCCTTCACCAACAGAAGACAAAGTGTCAAGAAAACTGCCCACCGTAAAGCTTGGCTTCGAATCAGCATGACTTGATATATAAATAATAATAAGGACAGTTTTTGCTATGATTTTGCTATCGTGCACGACTTTTGATGAGCTTCTCTGAACGGCACTCAACCCTCTTCAATTCCAAGGTTCATTTATGTCTCTTTCTTTGCATGTATGCCCATCTCTCATATAAAACCAATCCATCTAAAACGTCAGAAATGCATTAGGCATTAAACATGCAACGCAAATTCTCAGTGAGCAACAGAACAACCCTCATGTCCGCGTGTCCCTCAGATCTTCTGACTCTGAGAGGTTCTTGGTCTCCAAACGCATTTCAGCAGTTTCCAAACTTTTAATATTCCTCTCGGATTTCTTCAGGTGATCTTCCAAGTGTAGCGAGTTTGCCTCTATCCAGTGGAAATAAATGAAGAACAGTGTTTGAGTGTGATTCTGCGGTGGATAGCTCCTCAAACACGCGTCTCACGGAGCTCAGTGCGCACTGAGCAACTAAAGGTCCAAGACGATCAACGCAGCGCTCGTATCCTCACTACCCGTGAATGCCCTGCTCCTGACTCGTGCACACAGAAGTCTACTCCTCATGCAGGTACTGTGGTGAAATGCCCTCAGTAATTCACTGGCTGGAGGTGACATTCATCTCCCTCGCTTGTGTGACGTCTCTGGAGGAGGGGTTCATAAACTCCACTTTGACTGATGAATGAATGAATGACTGAAGCATGAAAGCTGGAGCTGCGCGGGGTATAACATCCTCATGAGATCCAGTGAAGAGAAATGTTTTGGCTTATTTAAGGCATTATGTCTGGTCCATATTATTTTAAAATGTATGTTATTTATTTTAGATCTGTATACACTATTGTAGAAATACTTTTATTCGGCAAGGATGCATTAAATTGATTTAATTGAGTAATTTATTTGTTATAAAATAAATAAATGCTAAAAAATAATGTTTCTAGGTTTCCACAAAAAAAATAAAAAATAAAATAAAATAGCAGCGCAACTGTTTTCAACATTGATAATAATAAGAATCGTCGCTTGAGCACCATATCAGCATATTAGAATGATTTCTGAAGGATCATGTGACACTGAAGACTGGAGTAATTGCTGCTAAAAATTCTTCTTTGTCACCACGAAAATAAATTACATTTGAAAATATAATAAAATATAAAAACTTTTTTAATATGTAATAATATTTCACAAAATTACTTTTGTTATATTACGTTTTTATTGTATTTGTGAGCAAATAAATGTAGCCTCGCTGAGAATAAGACTTTCAACAGAGTAAAAAAAAAAAATCTTGCCAAGTACAGTATATCAAACATATCAATTTTATAAAAGATTTCAAAAACTGTACTGTATAAAATAAATGTATTTTTATACAGCAGTGAATCATTTTAAAAAAAATATATATTATAAAATATTTTCATTATTTTGTGAATTGTATAAATTGAAGCTTTGCCAATTATTAGTTCTAAGAAGCTTAGTATGTACAGTATGTTTCCTCTAATGTGGTCTTGTGGTCATTAATATGAAGTCATCTGAGGTATTAATTCAAAACTATCGCATTTATAATCTAGCAGCCACTGGATTACCAATATAATTTAATTATGGAGTCGGGAGAGTATAGAAATGTGCAAAGTATAAAGTGAGAAAAAGACACAAAAGACCTTAACGATACATTTAGTCATAGTAATTTAATTTCCTTAGGATTGAAACAACTCTTGAACTGATGAAGCCCACAGTGTACTTTGATTCAAAATTAGGTCTTAAAAACAGTATGCACTACAGTCAGCAATGTCCAAGTCATATTAGAACACATACAGTGAATGTACTGGTAAAGCATGTGTTTTATATGAACAAGAAGTCTTTATAGTTGGATTAATCTTTCTTAAATGTCAGTTTTTATATAGTCAAGAAAAAAATATATGATTGTTTCCATCCTTTGCTATTTTAAAACATCTCTCAGTCAGTGTAGTTTCTCCTCTGGTTAAATATAAAGAAACGCAGGTAAAAAATAAATATCCCTTTGATGTAGTAAAAGACTTGTACTACCCCACAGGACCAAAGCAACAGAAGCCACAAAACAGAACATAGCGTGTACGGTTCAGCACCTTTAAAATGTCATAAACCAGCAGATTCAGTGATTACATCCCACATGCTTTGCTGGGAATATTAAAATGAAATAATAATACTCATCAGTAGTATGTGCACTGAGAGCATGCACATCATGCATGTGCATATAAGAGGATATCTGGAGCTGCCGTTGATGATTAAAGTACACTTCTCCAAACAATAAAAGATAGGGAACATGAATAATAACTAAATATGTACATTAAAGAAACCATTTACATAACATAAAGCTCCTTTTATGAATGCTGAAAAGAGTTTTAAAAGACTTTGGAAATCATAAGACAACAAACTTCTATCAATATTGAGGAAAGCTTATAAAACTACAGAATGAAAACACTTGAGAGAGAGCAAACTTATTAGTTATTCATGCCATTGCACTCATACACTAATAAGTCACTATTAAAATAGTTTTCAGAGGTTGCATGTCACCAAATAGATCATCCAAAAATTAAAACTTGCTGAAAATTTTCTCACCCTCAGGCCATCCAAGATGTAGATTAGTTTTATTTCTTCATCGAAATTTTGCATTACATCAACTGCTCCCCAATGGATCATCTGCAGTGAATGGGTGCCGTCAGAACGAGAATCCAAACAGTCGATAAAAACATCACAGTAATCCACAAGCAATCCACACAACTTCAGTCCATCAATAATGCCTTGTGGATCGAAAACCTGCATGTTTGTAATATATTTATCAATAAGATGTTATAACTTCAAATGGCTGCTTCCAGCTAAAATATACGTCTTCTATCCATAATATTGCTTTCAATATTTCAAAAATATTGAAAAATATGCACAGATCAAGCAGCTTTTAAGCAAAATCAATCCAAAACAGTTCTAAACAAATATGTTGGTGGATTTTGATGTGAGAGGACAACAGGGAATGGACTTTTACACTGGAGGTTATTATGGATAGAGGACTCGTATTTTAGCTGGAAGTGATGGTTTAAAGTTAAAATGGCTTGATTGATTTCTTACAAACACACCGCTTTTCACTTCATAAGACAATAAGTGATGGACTGGAGTCATGTGGGTTACTTGTGGATTACTGTGATGTTTTTAGCAGCTGTTTGGACTCTCATTGTGACGGCACCCATTCACTGCAGAGGATCCATTAGCGAGCAGGTGATATGCTACATTTCATCAAATTGATAAAAAAAACTAAAAAACTCATCTACATCTTGGATGGCCTGACAGCGCGTAAGCTTTCTGGAAATGTTCATTTTTGGGTGAATGATTCTTTTAAAGTTGCAGTTTCTACAAGGTTTTGGAATCCTACCGCACAACTTGAGCTGCAGCTTTGGAGATAATGCATATAATCAGCATCCAAGTTTCCTCAGAGGTGAAAATTTGATAAGTATGCATGTTTCTACCAAGACTTCCCGCAGACATAACCAACTTCACCCTCCACGATTGGTATCTCAATGAAAAAATAAATATCCTGGTAACATAACAAAAACCATAGCGAGATTGAAGTAAGACACCAGAGCTGGCCGCAAGTCAAAATCTGTGGAAACAACAACAACTAGAGAGCCAAGTTGTGGAGGTTTTGGAGTTTGATTTATGTAACACAGTGAATGTAATGATAATGCAATAAGAAGAACCTGTAATTCCTTTCATGGGTCAGGATCCTCGGAATTATGGGTTCGCTAGTCTGTTCTCACTTACTAGAGAAAAAAAAGTCTAAGTGGTTTTTGTACACAAAAACGGTTTTGAAGGCTGCAGTGACATATGGCTTTAGCAAGTACACAAGCAGCTCAAAGCCTCCTGTGACTGGCAGAGAAAAATCTAAATATTTATTTCCCTAAACGAATGCCACAACGAGTTAAAAACAGACCCCAAACCTCACGTCAAAACAAAACTGAGGTGACAAATGCAGTAGAGGAAACGGGGAAGTGTCAAAAGAAAGCTTTTTTTTTTTTTAAAAGCATCAGTGTTTGGTCATTCAGAGCTTCATGTATTAAAATAAATATGATATACCTAAGTTTAAAAAAGAGATCTATTTATTAAGTGGTTCATTGCTTGCTTTTGAAGAGCAGAAGATGAGCAGTGCACATTTGGTTCAGATAGGAAGTATGTCACTCTTCGTTCTCCTCATATGTGGTCTCGTTAAAGGGCCGGTCCAGCGAGGGAAGAACTTTGTGCCGCGAATACTTCAGCTGCAGCAGATCGCCTACTTCACTGATCACATCCAGCGCCTGAAAACAATCAGCATGCTCCATTACTTTCATGGTTACACATGTAAGTCATAACATGCTAATGCTGAGAAGCAGCTGCCACCTACCATGCAGTACTTTAAAAGTTTGATATAATACAGTCATGACAATGCTAGTTGAATTATTTATACTGCAATTGATTCCATGCAGATTTCTGGTTCAAGTTTCCATGAAATGCACAAAATGTCAATTATTAATGTCAACTTGTTAATTTTTCAAAGAAATGTAAAACTATATGCACTAGGGCGGATCAATATATTCTATATTCACGATACATTCACAATTAATTGAGCAACACTATAAAAAACTGCAATTAGATTTGGTAAGTTCAATGAACTGATTTAAAACTTTGATTCAATGAATCATTTGAATCATCACTCATAACCTAAACTAAAACGCATTAAAATAAAATAATACAGGACAAATACATAAATCAAGATATATACTAAAAAAAAATAATCACCAAAAGGCTAAAAAATACATCATGACAAATTTTTTCAGCCCCAAAAACCTGTCAAGCCCCAAAAATACAAGAAAATATGATCAGAAGGACACAGAATAAAATAAAATAAAATAGGACAAAAAAATAATACTAATCAAGACATACTAAATAATCATCAAAAGGTGATAAAAGATTAAACTGTCCAGCCCTAAACCCTTTAAACTTTTGTTATACACTTTGTACAATCTTAGCCATTCAGCAATAGAAGCAATGCAAGAAAAT